GACTGGCGAAACCGAAGGCAAAGGTAACAACTCACTGTGCACACCTGGCCTACACCATACTGACTACGTCGGGATATACCAGTCAAGATCAAGACAGTACACACACACACCACACACACACACACATTACACCACACACACACACTCCCTCTCTCTCTCTCTCTCTCTCTCTCTCTCTCTCTCTCTCTCTCTCTCTCTCTCTCTCTCTCTCTCTCTCTCTCTCTCTCTAACTAGCAAGCAGGTTTGGTAGATACGTGCACCGGTTAAAGGATGCACTACTAGTATACGTCTGTCGGTCAAATCTTTTTTGAAGCAAGGAACAAACCTGCTTACCCAGCTGACGTAGGTACGATCGCGCACGGAAGCCGCTTATAGAGTCCTTGTCGTTTTGACGACGCCACATCCTGTCGCATAAACGACCAGTAGCACAGAGGCACACGTCAATACGAGCTAGAAGGCGCTCTAATTATGCTGCCAATGGCGATCCGTTACAGGCCAAAAACATGCCTGAATGACTTAGTAGCACTGCGAGAATACTGTTTACAAGCCACTACAGATGGATGAGAAATACAAGCTCTCTTTTCATTGTGATGCATATTTACAGCTGTCATCAAATATTCCAGGAACAAACGAACATGGACTGATATTTCTGCATCTAGTCTCGCCACCATTGACTTCCACTCGAACAGAGAGCTTCGAGATTGCAGCAGAAATGAATTCGAAGCAGACCAAATCACAGTCGTCTAGATCTAAGTCGTACCTGTACTAAGCCATGAGAAAATGCGCAGTAATCCAGGCACTGTCCAGCTGCTGGACAGAAGCAAGCGGCAGAGCAGCTTCCCAACACACTAGTGCCCAAGTTTTACCCTCGCTGAAGCTCGACAACATCACACTGGCACAACTAATCCCAAAAATCCATCTCCCAACTGCAACTACAGTCTACCTACACTACACACTACAGTGAAAGTCTTGGATTAGCATTTGACGAGACGTTGACAGACGGAGTCGAATCAGTGATGGTGATGGTTACTGTGGTTGCACCCACATCAAAAAAAAAGAAGAAAAAAAGTGACGAACTGCTTCGCGCAACAAAGCTGGGTCTAACTGGCGCCATCTTGGAATCATGCACGCTTGCTCGCTGTTACCAAGCAACGAGTGCGAGTAACACAAGCGCGCAAAAAAAAAAGAGACAAGAACTACAACTGTACGTAGAACCAAGAGTACATAACCCCCCGGGGGGTTAATACTCTTGGTAGAACTAGAATTGAGTAGAAGCGTGCAAAACGTCAAGAAAATAGTGAAGTGTTTTGTTGTAGAAATCAAGTCCTTTTCATGCATGTACGAATGCAGATTGATTGATTGATTGATTACGAAGTAGTTGTGTGATCATGGTTCTCTACATATTCAATACTAATATTATAGTAATAATCTTACAGTACTAATATTAGTAATAACCAGATACACTGTACAGGAAATCATGCATTCAAGTTGTAGAGAACTTTTGAAGTCAGAGGTTACTGCAGTAGAAAGGGAGGAGTGTGGAACACGTGTTGGACGGATAGACTGTGATATATCGATAGTGGATCGAGCACATACACGTAGTAACGTGCTGGGAAGTGTTTTCGTGTCAGTATTGTTGACTGTGACAACACCAATGACTTCAATGTGCCAGCACCGTGAGCAAGGTTATGTGCCAGCTGAGTACTTTACAACACAGCGTATGTGGTAGAATCATTGAGCCAAGATTATAAGCTCCTAGCTAGGGAGCTTATACACTCCTGATTGAGCCGACAGTCATCAGTATTCAGTCCCACAGCCGGCAGGGATACAACACTCCGATTATCACAGGCTCACCGGGACCGGTCTGGTTGGTCAGGTCATCGCCGCCAACATTTTGGGCACCGACTCGTGTTTCCTGCTGAGGAGATCATGTTTACCCGCCATTTATCATCATGCGCAAAGCAGGGAGTCGTAAAATACCGGTATTTTATGACCCCCTGACACAAAGACTGTCAAACTCAAAGTATGAAAGGCTAGGATATGCTGGCCAAAATTGCTTCCGGCAGTCCTGTTTAGGCAGCGCGTAGGGGTCCGAGTGTATGTGCATTTCTGCTACAACGAACCGTTCAGCTATAAAGTACTGATTCTCCTGCACACTGGTGTTCGTTATATCAGGAGTCGACTGTACATCAAGAGTACATAACTGGTTATCTACTCTTGCTTACATGTACATGTAGTTCCCAGGCTGTTCCGCTGACTCGTGCTGTGTACATAGCGCCAAGAGTACATAACCAGTGGTTGCTTACTCTTCATAGCGCGGCTTTAGCGCCCCAGGATAAGCGGTTCCACATACATGTAGATGATAGAAGCTACTACATGTACGAGTAAATAACGTGTCACAGTAGAGAGAGGATAGTCAATAGATGCATGTACAATCACATCATCACGGTTGCAAATAATAATTATAATTTAAAAAGCGCTGTGTCAAAACAGCAAAAGAAAGTCTGCTTCGCGCAGGCGTACATGTATAATTATTTACCGTATTTCCCCGAATATTATACTGTCCCCGGGGAAAATCGCGCAAAAAAATCGCAGAAAAACGCGGCATAATATGGCATAATTTGCGGTAAATATGCGGTGAATATTATTGATATGAGGCAAATTTCAGTGAGTATGTAGTGAAATCAATCAGTTACAAGTCTCTGGTGTAAGCACTCGTCATATTTGAGTACAAAGCTGCCACGATGAGATGTTGCTGACCGAACAGTGCACTGTGTGTACGTATAGTGCAACAAAAAAGTTCTAAAAACGCGGAAAAAACGCGATTTTCCCCGGGGACAGAATATAAATTATACGTCGCACCTTTTTACCCCGGCAAAAAATCAAGGCTAAGAAAGGGGTGTGACAATCGAGCATGACTTACTACATGCACATGTACTGAATCAGTACAAAGTCAATATTATCAAAACAATAATTGCTCAAACCTGAAAATGGGGGTGCGCCTTATAATCTGGGAAATACAGTAGTATTGTACATTGTACATGTATGCTTTTCCAATGCCACACAAGCAAGTTTGCAGTTTTCCGGGCTGTCGACCTTCGTCTCAGTGGTCACGTCGTCATCTCGGTGTAGGCATGGGCGGGTGATGCTAGTTATTTGCTGCGATAATGCTAAAGGCAATGCTCATAATATGAGGATATAATGCCACTTATAATGCTCACACTACTCCATAATGCCAGTTTGAAAGTTGGAAAAGTCGATTTAAGAAGGCCGTCTTGGATCAAGGCCAAAGCATAGTAGAAAAACTTAAAAACAGCAGTGAGCATGTTGTCTGAAAAAATCCACTGAGAAGGTTGATTTGCAACGTCAAGTCTCCAGACGAATCCGGACGGGTTCAGATGCACGATTTTAGGAACTGGACCTAGCCAGCTTCATGCATGACACCGTTGTCGACCGGCAATTATGCTTGTAATGCCAATTTTGCATGCGAAATGGTGTTATAATGCCAGCATTATGCCACCTGGAAAAAAGGGACTTAATGCCAGCCATAATGCTAGCATTACCCGCCCATGCCTATCTCGGTGGGCTAGGCTGATAATTTGCGACGGTGTCGGCCTTGGCGTTGGCCGCTAACATTACTTCCATGCGTATCGCACTGCACTGTACATGTTCTGTTCTTTTCTTTTTTTCCCTTGACCTATCAGCTGCCCTCGTGTGTGTGTGTGTTTCAGTTTCACAGCATAGTACTTTTCGGAGTCAGTTTTCTTCTGTTCTTCTGTTCTTCCTTTCGCGGCTGAACATCAACATGAGCTGTATGTTATGTACTCTTGGTATTATGGAAATGTCATTTTTTAATCTACATGTAGCTAAATTGCTAAAATGTGTACAAGTAAGTTAGTTGCTAGTTGTACAGTCATGTACATGTATTATCAAGAGTCCATAACCCTATAGGGGGCTTATGCCTTATGCCTGGACTCCCTGGTATTATGTCACATCATAATTTAATAATTATTATCATCATGTCAGCTCGTACTTGTAAAAAAAGTTGTATGACTCTATGAGTACATACAGTCGTAGGAAGAGTTCAGAGCAGGGACAAGTAGTACAATACTGGAGTATTGTACTATTCCCTGCAGACGGACTCTTGTCACCAGGGAGTAGTACTGTACTGTATGTTTTCGATTTCGACAAAGCTATCATCAAGAGTACATGAACTCTCTCACATCGCAAAGACCCCAAACTGTAAACAGTTATTTTACTGTAAAACTAGTAGTAAACTACGAAAATAGACCGCTGGAATGTGAACGCACTGCTCAGGGGTCGGATTTCAGTTGCCAGCACTGTAGTCTGTAGTGTAGATCTACGACTTACGAGTAGTTGTACGAGTCGTAGACCCCTCTACTCGCAGACCTAACTGACTACGAATCTGACTTCTCTTGAGTCTTGTACCATGTTTACTGTGTTGTAAAGCGGCCGTAACGAAGCCCCGACGACCATAAAGGCATAATGCACGACCGCGGAGGCGCAAGGGCATCACGCATACCGGTATGTGCGATCGCTGATCGACGAGTGATCGACTGATCGTACATCATGTACATGAGCTCGCATCTCGTACTCGCAGTCGTAGTACCGTCGTCATGCGTCATGATTGTCATGTATGTAGTCTACGTATATTCGCGTAGCGCATATTTTTTTGGTCTGGATATATCTGTCGTGCATGCACGCGTGGCCGAGGTCGAGGATCAAGGAGAGCATGCAAGCCTGAGCTGAACTGATGACTGATGTACACAGCTCACGTAGTTTTTCTGGCTTTCACCACTTGTACTGTTGTAGTCGCACAAGAGCAAATTTCTCTAAAGTTCACGCCAACCCTGGTGCCCCAGTTGCAGTTGCTTGTTGTGGATTCGGTAACCCATGGGTGTCCTGGGTTAGCCTTGTGTGAACCAACGTACGTGTAATAGTAGTAGATGATGTGCCTGCGAATGCAACATCTTCGTAGATAGTTGTTGGCGGTGAGGGATCGTCGCTCCTTATCCGGTGAGTAACTAACTTTTGTGGGGTATTGGGCATGGCAGTTTGTCTTCAAAGTTTGTGTGGATTTCGACCGTAGGCGTCGTTACTGTCGCACGTTTACCACTTATTCGGACTGATTCTAGTTCCGTTTTTGTCCAATCTGATCATAGTTTGACTGCTTGGTTGCTCTATTTCAAATTCCCACCAGCCGTGCCTGATCTCACGTTATGTACTCGTGCGAGATCTTGGTTCCTGATATGTACACCTTTTGTTTGTTAGTGTAGTCTTGAAGCTGGACTCTGATTTCCATGCTTTTGCTGTCTTTGGGTGCTGCAGCTGTCGCAATGGAGCAGTGCATGGCATTGTATGACTATCTCGCGAATCAAGATGAGGAGCTGAGTATTCGTAAAAATGAAAAACTTACACTGCTGGACAGTTCTAAAACTTGGTGGAGAGTTCAAAACGCTGGTGGATCAATCGGCTATGTCCCATCCAATTATTGCAAAAAAATCGACACACCTGCACCTGCACCTGTAGCACAACCAGCAGCATCTACTCCAATAAAGCACACTGCTGTCAAAGATGAAGCTGGAATGTATCAGCAAGTGGACATGACTTTCAATAAGAAGCCAACGAAGGTGGTGGCAATTGTCAAGTATCCGTATGCAGCCACAAGGGAAGATGAGCTCACGCTAAACAAAGGCGAACAGGTAACAGTAATAGAGAAGGAAGGCGATGGGTGGTGGAATGGAGAAGTCAATGGTGCATGCGGTTGGTTCCCGTCCAATTATGTGGAGGAGACGACTATTCCAGATCCTACCCCAGAGCCGACAATACAGAATTCAGTTGCACAAACACCGGCAGAACCGACAGTCATTTGCCGTGTGCGCGCACTTTATGCGTTTCAGTCTGGAAATCACGAGGAGTTATCGTTTGAGCGAGGCAACATGATGGATATCATCGACCAGCCAGAGAACGACCCAGACTGGTGGGAAGCACGGAAATCTGATGGATCGACTGGACTTGTGCCCCGCAACTACGTAGAAGTCGTCCATGATGATCCTCCAGTGCAGCAAAAGCCAGCCTTCCCTGCTGCAGGTCCAGCCGGTGCAGGCATGGGCGGTGGTGCTGCCAAGCCCCAGCTACCCGTGGGTCGTTCCTTTGAGAACAGGCCTTGGTTCCACGGGAAAATGTCTCGGAATCAGTGTGAAGGTCTCCTGGCTCGTGCGCGTGATGGTGACTTCCTAGTGCGAGAAAGCGAAAGCAAGGTATGTGTTGCTGGCAGAGTGCTGTGTGTGTGTGTGTGTGTGTGTGTGTGTGTGTGTGAGGAGGGGGGGGGCTTGTGTGTTTTGTTGGTGTTTGTATGGTGTACCTGTCATCAAGAGTATGTATCTTCTATAAGGAGGGCATGTGCAATTGCTTTGAGCAGCTGTTACCTTTTGTGTGCTTCCCATTCTCACGACCGGCGCATATCGAAAAGCGTGCATGTAGTGGTGCCTTGTACTCAGCATGATTAATAATTCCGCCTAAAGTAGTACTCGATCTCTGGACAGCTAGCTGTAGTGTAGATGACTGGGGCACATGGCTGTAGTAGAGCTTGACCATGATGATGTCAAAACGAAACTATGAAAGTCACACGTGTGACATATGTCGACTTGGATCCACGTGGATAGCACGTTGATGTGGTGCGTGGTGGGTAGATGGTGATAGAGCTGCATGCGTTTGCGTCTTGTTGATACCAGCGATGCTCCACTCACAGTTCGGCCAGTGTATTTAGTATTTACCTGCTTCTGCATTCCTTCTTATTTTTTTGAGCGTTTCGACCTGCTGTGAAGTAGCACTTTCAAATGCTGCTGTGTATTACATGGGGTTGAAGTTGGTTCTTTGTGTATCCGGATACCATTTGCACAACCAAGCATAAGGAGCTCCTTGCGGTTGTGCTCTCTAAAGTGTTTTGCACGTTGCGCTTAAGTTATGTGTACTATGTCAGTCCGCAAGGGAGTCATGAATGGTGTACTCTCGGGATTGGTTCACACACTATGTACACGTTTGTTCTGTACTCGTCGCAACATGAATGGCTAGCTGTCTGTAGCCTTGGGCTGGGCATGAGCATACCTGTATGTGTCATTTGAACACTAGATGAGATGATGTAGTGCACTCCTGAAGATCATGAGCTGAACGAATTGCAGTGGTTGACTACAGTACTATTAACCCTTTGGCTCCGCCATGACTCCACTATTTACGAAAGGCCATAATTTTCGCTTGAATTGTGTCAACTATCGGTCATAACTTACGTGATATTAGCCTGATTTTCACAACCTTGGGCTCTCCAGAAAGCTCTTCTCAGCACAAACACAATGAGCTGTCATCCAGCGAAATCGGAGTTGCAGGCCCAGCTCTACAGCCTAGGAAAGTCACTATATCGCTATGAATGCCCTCAATCCCTATCTCCTTCAGCCATTTCTCACCCAGCTCTGATTTTTTGGAATTGCCGTCGCAGATACCCAGCACCAGGGTCTACGCAAATTTTTTGATGACTGGTACTTGGGAATTCCCCGTTTCATACACGAAAATGCACTTGGAGCGAGCAAAGTGCCACCACCCAAATTTCTGGAAACAACTACACCAACGGATCAGGGTCTACGCAAATTTTTTGATGACTGGTACTTGGGAATTCCCCGTTTCATACACGAAAATGCACTTGGAGCGAGCAAAGTGCCACCACCCAAATTTCTGGAAACAACTACACCAACGGATAGTTTTGGATTTCGGCTACAACCTACATACTGTACAAGCAGAAGTATTCGTCTGGAACTTAATTTCGTCTTTTTCGTCCAAGGAGCTTTTGGACTAAATTAAATGCCGGACTAATGTCGATTTGTCCAGCTTTTCAATACACCCTTGAGGTCCATGGACGAAATTTTCAACAGGACAAACTCCCTTTCTTTGTAGTTGGACGAAATTATTGACCGACGACATTTTCTGCCTGTGCAGTACTTTGATTTTCACGATAGTACAATATTTGACTGAGCTATGGATGTTTGAAGTGATCGACGGAATACCGTCGAAAGATGTACTGCGCGGAGCCAAATGATAGCCTCCATCTCAAGTATTTTAGTTGGACTGTTAAAGCTCCACGTTGGTAATGCATGCTTGACCCAAGCCGTTCATGGAAGCAAGGTTGTTCTCTACATGTTGAAGTTCACCCAATGCTGCGAGTCCGCTAGGTACTGGTTTAACCTGGTAGCGCAACATGGCAGCAACCCATCCGTAGCAACAGAGGAACCCATTGGCAGCGACATCTGGTGCTAATTCACACAATGATTTTGTGATGAGTGACCTCCAAGAGCGATGTAACCTCTCGAGATGTGAGCAAGGCGATGTCACCAGACATTGTTTTTCTCAGTGCGCAATGTACCGTAAAGTGCTGTTGATCCGCCCCCTCTCTAATTTCTGTCGCCTGTCGAATTTCTACCTGTGAAGCAACTTTAGCGTATATTTCAAATGCTGTGCTGAACCGACGCATGCACTGCTGTACTCAATACATGCCTGTGCACAATCCAGCACGGCAAGTCTATCTTTCATGTACATGTAGGTGTACATAGTACTGCACTTGAGAGCCTTGATTCCCACCTCTTTCCCAAAAACCAGTTGGGAAGTGACACAGTCTGTCTGTGGGTGTTGGGGGGGGGGGGGGGGCAAAGGTACTTTACGCATCGTGCACTGTTTCTTGTGTGTTCCAAGTTGTCCTGTGGGATGCGTAGACCCAAGAAACGATATTGACATGGAAGATACCATACTGTCAGTCTTGTATGTTACGTATTGTGTGTCTCGTGTAGAAGCCCTGTTCTGAAAGCAACCCTGAATTTCCAGGATCATTCGTTAGCATGTGACAAAACTTGCAATACGTTGTATCAAGAGTAGATAAACAAGAGTGTGCAACTCCGGAGCTCTCCTGCACAATCTGCAGCCCACGGCGGAATTATTTGTTGACGTCACCTTTTTTCAGAAGAACGCGCATTTCGCCGCAGAGCAGTGTGAGAGCACATGCTGGGCACCGACCTTGTAGTGTAAAGCCGGCCAAGAGCACGAGGGAAAACTTTCCGAAAGACTCGCAGCTCGTGCGTCGTCTAAAAGATTACGTCAACAAAAAATTCCGCCGTGGGCCTACCCATCCGCGAGTTGCACACTCTTGTTTATCTACTCTTGGTTGTATGCATGTTGCAACCATGAGGCCTCAATATGCCGAAATACAGTTTTCATACTTTCAAGTTACGATAAGTACAGTATGCCAATATCATGTGTGGGGTACATGTATATTCGTCCCAGAGAACAGTTGGAAACAGAAAAACGGCACTTTGGGGGTTTCTTGCAAGTATATGTAATTTTCGAGCGATGCTTTATACATACTGACCTCCCATGAACATCTCAATCCCTTGACAAGACATGCAGAATCCCTGGATGGCACCAAAACACATGAAAAAGAGCTTTTCCTGCCAAAAAAACCCCGTTGGACAGCACAGGACTAGTGTATTTTGCGTGGAGCACAGTTCCACCCTGCAGGCTGCAGTGCAGTTTGATTATTCAGCGCGCGCCTATCGGTGTTGATCACGCAGACTGTAGGCTAGGCTTGTCTTTGAAAGTGCTGTGTACAGGGTCGAAGTGCGAGTGTGAAGGGTACAGTAGACTCGTACGCCCAAGAACGCGGTTTCAGAGGGCCAGCCTAGCAAAGTTCTTATTTTTCAGCGCCCCAGGCTACGTTCTTACGCGTCCAACATGACCCGTGACGCTCATGTACAATGCACTTTGCGCTACATGTACTGGTTGTACACTTTACATTCACGTGTAGTATGTAGCGCTGTACTGGGTGGTGTTTTCGCGAGGACCCGACAAGAGTTTGTGGTTGCGGACTTGTTTTTCGTGTACATGTACTCGGACAAGATCCGGTCCGGAAAGCCGGTAGCATTACCATTCTGATACAGAAACGTGCACATTCAATGTGCTCGCAAACCAATTAAAATTGGTTTGCGAGCATCTACGGCAAGAAAATATCGGCACGGTGCTTGTGATGTGACGTACGCTCTATAGCATGTCCTGGAGCAGCCGAAGAATCTTCCTTCCTGCAGCCCCTTTATTTGAGGAGTTTGATGGGCTGTGTTCCGTCATATGTGCTGAATAATCTCGAAGCATTTCCTGTCGCAGCCTGTGCTGGGTTGCACAAGGTTTTCTCTATCCGGATAGAGTTGTATTGCTACTGAAGCTATATGTAGCATGTAGTGGGGTTGCTGTTACCTTTCTTCACGGTTAGATTTGTTTTTTTTTGTCCTGGGATTGTAAATGTTTGGCTAGAGGCATATGACCGTGGCTGCTGTTGTGTCCCAGTGAACAGTTCCGTAGTGATAGAGAACGTGACAGGTGGTATCAAGCCACTGGCTTGGCTGCCAGTCATACCTCTGCCGTTTTTCCTGCTCTTCCTGTAGCGCTGGCAACTACTTATTTTAATTGAACTCGGATGGTGAGCCAATAATTATAGGTGTCAGGTCGCCGAGTGTCTCAGTACTCCTTGTCAGTTTTGTGCCATTTTGTCGCACTTGCTGACTGTATAAGATCTGGTTACGTTGGTGGACAGTTTGTCATAACTCGTAACATTTTATCCTTATCCTTTCTTCATCCTAACTTATTTTAATGCATGAGAAAAGCGAGTACTTGGCGATTTTCCATGTGCAAGTATAATATCAGCTAAATTTTGACACCGCCCGTTTCTTGGAACTTGGCCGTGATGTGATTCCGTGTACACAGAACTTAAGTGCAACAATGAGTACTGTGAGGGCTAGTGTATGCAAGTTTACCACATTCAATGATTCAACCATTCACCAAATGGCTTTTTTGTTTTAAAGTTGTATCTCTCCTGCTTGTGTGCGCTTGTGTGTGTGTGTGTGTGTGTGTGTGTGTGTGTGTGTGTGTGTGTGTGTGTGTGTGTGTGTGTGTGTGTGTGTGTATGTTACCCAGGCTGGCGACTACTCTATATCGATGAAATCACCAGGGAAGATTAAGCACTTCCGCATCCAGAGCCTTCCCGGTGGCCAGTATGGTATTGGGCCAAGGAAATTCACACAAATTGAGGAGCTGGTCGATCACTATACGAAAGCACATATTTACACGGCAGAGGACGGCACGCGTATGTATTTACAGCACGCTTTCCCCAAGTACTGAGCACCACCACATGTACATCTGCTGATAGGTCTTTCTTTGCTCTTTCTCTGTTCCTCGCCCCTCCCCCCCCCCCCCCCCCGCCATCACCCTAAATGCTACCATTACCCGAAGATTTAAAAGTCCTCTTTTCTGCTAGTTTTATTTTGTGTTGTGCGTATGTGCGTGTTGTAATTATTACTCGTCCTCTTGTAATATTGACCTTGTCCATATTGCATTGTGTGCCTCCCCCTATTTGCCTCTGTACGCATATGTATACTCTTTTCTTTTCTACCCTGGAACAATTATGGTGGCATTCTCAAAAATCAATGCCATAAATCAATGCCATGGTCGGTAGTCAATAGTGTGTCGTGCTTTCTTTGTCGGGGATAGTTTTTTTTGCTTTTCTGTTTTGCTGCCTTTTTGGGCATGTCCACTGTGTTGCCGTCGTGTTGCGCGCATCTTGTCCCCTTTCTATCTCTTCTTATCTACTCGCGCGCGATCTCTTGATTTTGTCCATTTGTTCCGACGGCTGTAGGAACTTGATGAGAGCCCGACTAAGTCTATTGACTCCTGCCACTGTTAGGTATGGGTGGTACGTTTGAAGTATCTCGGTGTACCACCCGAGCCTCACGGGCGATTCTAAGTATTGTTGATATTTGTCCTGCATGTGTTGTTTTTGTCTCTTTTTCTTTTCTTTTTTTTCTCGTTTATCATTTGGACCTCAGTGTAGGGCGCATGTTCCGCTATAGATTTAACTCTATTATCCAACTTGTCGAGACTTGTTGTTGTATGTTGCTTGCTGCTGTGCGTTCCGAGAGATATCAAAATTACTCTTGGTGATATGCACTGCGATCGTGTCCGTTGCTTGTGCGTACGTGCTCTGCATGCAAACCGGTACATGTATGTATATGTGTGCACTGGTGTCAGAGCCACTGATGCTAGTTGATGCATTAATTGCGCAGTGTACCACTGGCATGTGTTTTACTGCCTGGGCTGGGTGTCTTTGTTTGCTGCATGCGCATGCGGGAATTGCGTGCTTGTGCGAGCTGTTGGATCTGAGTACTACTACTAGTAGCACTGCCCCCTTGTCCCCCGTCACGTAGGGCATCCAATAACAATAAAATCAAGTGAGCCTATCCTGGTTACATGTACAGTATCAGAATTACATATGTACATCCACTGATATTTTTAGTTCCTTAGAGTTGAGCCTATCGGCAATGGGCAGGGTCTGATACCTAGTAACGGATGAGTCATTGATTGATTGATTAAAATGGCAAATGCTGCGATCTCAGTCTAGTTATCTATGAATAGTATGATCTCGGTGCTGTCACCTTGACTTGAGGCTGAGGTGTGGACATAATATAACACTGCCGGCGCTGGCACCTGGGTGCACGGTGCACCGGTGGTAGCGAGATGCGTACCTGCCGTGTTAGCTGCTCTTTATGGCCCGATCCAGCGCAGATACATCATTCACCCCAGTGTCTGGAGATATGTGGATTTTGTAGAGAAAAAAAATACAGGACTGGAGTTGTCATGGTAGCACTCGCGCTATCATCATTTTTCACTATTTTTACAGCCTGATCAGCTGTGCAGTACATTGTACAATCTACATGATGAGTAGGTACATCAGCACTCATCAGCAGTAACATCACTGCACTATATCTATGTATACCGGTAAGTAATGTTGTAATGAGTATGACTATGTTTTGTAGTCTACGAGCTCGCGAGTGCAGATCTATCTGGACTGAAGACTGAACAAACAACAAGAACATGCACGATACTATTAGTATTACTACAAACTACTAAGCTGATTGATACTGGTCTGTACCTGACTCAGGCCTGACTCTGAGTCCAGCCTGAGGCTGATGCCTGATGCCATGCATGCATGCAGCTCAGTGCAGTGATGACAAGAAAAATAATTAAAAATTTCTTTTCAAACAGCAGTCAACATTGTTTTACAGGTTGGATCATCATGATCATGGAGCTAGCACATTGAAATTTGATGTATCTTCTCCAGCATGAACCCCACGTTGGGTTCCGCCGTGAAATGGCGGACGAGCGTGCTGCTGTTCATACCGATCCTGGCCATAGCGGCTGTCGTGATGACTTTCGTCACTGCGCGCGAGGGGCACTTGTCTGCTCGCATGGCACAGAACTCACAGGAGGATGGCTACCTGGCCAAAACTGACAAAGGCAGAGCAACGCTCAGGCCGGATGGGGATGGAGTGGACGAAGCAGTTGGTCAATCTCTAACACACGATCTGGATCTAGGCAATGAGGAGTACCAGCACTGGGAAGGCAAGGCCCTTGCCGCAATGCGCGATGGCTCGCTGAAAGACGGACGCAAAATGTTCAAGCTGATCCAGGCGTTCGGCTCGCTACTGCCGCGGATCCAGCACGTGACGAAGATGGGCACGCCGAGCGTGGACCAGTTCAGAAATTACATAGCACCGGCCGGCCTGCCTGTTGTCTTCACCGACATGTACAAATCTCACCCGCTCCGAAAATGGTCCTGGGAAACCTTGAAAAAGCAGTATGGACACTTGAAATACGAAGACGTCAGGCAGGGAGCGCTGCACAATGACACGTCTCAATTCGGCAAGCGGAACGTGAACCGCGTGAGCGTCAAACTCAGTGACTTCATTGATCTTGTCAGTGGTGCTCGGAAAGCTAAAGGCAGCGCTGAAGAGGGTCTATACATTGCCAAGAAGCAGCTGCTTCCCAAGGAAGCAGTGCAGAAGGAGTTTCCCTATCCGCCATTCTACAGTGGCAATATGGACACCTGTTTCACGGAGCCCAGTTCCTGGTGAGCACGGCGGCATCGCTACTATTGCCGTAGGCTCTGTGCATTGGTATGCTCAATCTGAAAATGGACGCCGACTACATGTAGCCCCCCCCCCCCCTACTACAGATGGGATGACGTGGGGTGTGCACTCATGCCGAGCGGAACTGTAATCTAACCAATCACACAAACTGTGTATTGCATGCTGGTCACAAATGGCGTTATTGTGCTAGTGCCGGGGAACATCAGTAGTGGTCAAAGCGCTGGTCCGGCCAAGCAGGCCGACCGGACCGGTTCCGCCTGTCCCGAGGCTGCAGGAAGGTCTAGTAGGCACTGCTCAGACTGCAATACACTATTGCACTGCCTGAACGTATGTGTCAACAACTCGGACCCTTTGCCGCTCTATAGTTATTGTGTAGGCCTTTCACTGCATTCCCTGCAGCCCAAACGGGTAGATGATTATCTTGTGGGTGTCATTGCCCTGCACTGCATTCCCTGCAGCCCAAACGGGTAGATGATTATCTTGTGGGTGTCATTGCCCTGCACTGCATTCCCTGCTGCCCAAACGGGTAGATGATTATCTTGTGGGTGTCATTGCCCTGCACTGCATTCCCTGCAGCCCAAACGGGTAGATGATTATCTTGTGGGTGTCATTGCCCTGCACTGCATTCCCTGCAGCCCAAACGGGTAGATGATTATCTTGTGGGTGTCATTGCCCTGCAGCGCATTCCCTGCAGCCCAAACGGGTAGATGATTATCTTGTGGGTGTCATTGCCCTGCAGCGCAGATGGGGAGATAGTGGTGCTTTGTATGCACGATGAGCATTGCCTGTCTACTCAGTACTCCGAGACTCTTACCAGCTGGTCGAATGTGTAGCTGTTTGTGTGTGTGTGTGTGTGTGTATGTCGGGACTATGACGTGAGAAAGGCGCATGTATGGTCACCGTGTGGAAATACCCTGCTGTGACGATTTCATGCTTTGCTCGTCTGTTTGTTCAGGTTTGGCATGGCGGGCACCGTCACACAGGGCCATATTGACGCACGCGACAACTTTGCTTATCAGGTCATCGGTAAAAAGCGCTGGCATCTCTACTCACCGCAGGACTTCAAGCATCTGTATTTCACACAGCTGAAAGGTGCACTGGAGTGGAGCAAGGCTCTGGGAGAAGTTCCGGTCAATCTGAAGAAATACCCACGCGTAAAGAAGGCACGTGAACTGACGGTTGTGCTGAATGAAGGAGAGGTACAGTGCTTAGGGTCGGGTTTTTCACTGTGACTTTGATTGCTTGTTAGGGAGCATCTCATAAGTTCGCATTTTGTTTCTAAACGTAACGCATTTCGAAACGGGGGTAGGGGGGTAGCGCCCATTTCGGATAGAAAATGGACAGTTCGCACATTTTCTGGATGTGTACAATACAGTGCTGTGGATGTGCTAGACCGCTTCAGACAGCAGGGTACCGGGTGTGTTTTAGGTGTAGATCTAACCCTTGCACTACAATACACGCATGCAGGCTACTCAGAGGTGTCAAATGTCACGTACACCAGCCTGATCAAACCGTGTACCTGGCCAGCTTTGACAGTACAGTCGTTGTGGAGGAACTCTGTTTATGTGCGTGTACATGTCATTGATTGAACTAAGTATGTAACTTACTTGTACTCAGTAGATGCGGTACTACTGTATGTCATTCACTTCCACACTAGCAAAACATTCATGTCCATGTTTGTGCATACCATGGCATGGACATGTACAGTACAGTAGATCTACACTGAAAATGTGCGATAAGACTTTCAAATAGTGGGGGGAGGTAGGGGGGGGGGGGGTAAAGTCTATTCGAAATGCGTTACGTTTACAAAAAAAGTGCGAACTTATGAGATGTTCCCTTAGTGGTAACATAGACCTACATAGTGGTAACATAGACCTACATAGTGGTAGATGCGATACATGTAAGAGTACACTGATCCCATTCAGTGTGATTCTCCCTGTCCATTCAGTGTGATTCTCCCTGTCCATTCAGTGTGATTCTCCCTGTCCATTCAGTTTGATTCTCCCTGTCCATTCAGTGTGATTCTCCCTGTCCATTCAGTGTGATTCTCCCTGTCCATTCAGTGTGATTCTCCCTGTCCATTCAGTGTGATTCTCCCTGTCCATTCAGTGTGATTCTCCCTGTCCATTCAGTGTGATTCTCCCTGTCCATTCAGTGTGATTCTCCCTGTCCATTCAGTGTGATTCTCCCTGTCCATTCAGTGATCTTTTAGTTTAGCGCCACCTGCAAGTCTGAATGGTGGTGAGCTTGGTAAGGAATGCGGCTGAGTTGAGATTTGTTCGTAGTCGATGATAGTCATCTCAAGTCCTGTGGATTTCTCGGAAAGATCACACACTGTATCATCCTGCAACCTTGAAAAAACGTGTGTGGTAGATTATATAGGCAGGGTTCCTCCAGGGAGGCATTCTGAACATTTGTAGGAAAGCGTGCCAGTATATCTGCGTTCTTTCTCTCTCTCTCTCTCTCTCTCTCTCTCTCTCTCTCTCTCTCTCTCTCTCTCTCTCTCTCTCTCTCTCTCTCTCTCTCTCTCTCTCTCTCTCTCTCTCTCTCTCTCTCTCTCTCTCTCTCTCTCTCTCTCAGGTATTGTACTTGCCACGAGGCTGGGTGCACATTGTGGAGAACATCACGCCGGCTTTGATGCTCAACATTTGGCGCAAGGGCCCACCCGAGTTCCTCGCGCCCTGGTCGGAGAAGTACCGGCAGGACATTGCCAACATCTGTGACAAGCAGACAACTTGAGCCGAGTCCACTGGAGTGCTGTTCTGCTGGCAATGTGCCGACTACGAACAACCACTTCCATGATTAATGAGCATCTCTGCAAAAGCAGTGACCTAGTGACGGTAACTCTAATAGTGGCATCTATGCAGTGGTGTACCGGTATGCTAGCGTGAACCGCTGTGCTTGATCGGCCATATACCAGCGCATGATCTCTATGTTGTGGGTTGAGCATTTCTCATGCGTGCTCCACACGAGCAGTCTGTTCCAATACGTCAGCTGGCTGCATGGCAACGCATTGATGGGTGCTAAATGAGAATTTGGCAGCCCCAATCAGTGCCATCTCCATTGATACTCTGTGATCATTGAGTAATATTCCGATAATAACTTGGTTCGCTTGATGCTTGACGTGACTATTGTTATGATTTCGCAAACGTAGCTGGCTGTACACCTTCAAGTTAAGAATGTGATTTAGAATCATGCGACCATTGTCCAGTGCATGCCGGTGTCTTCTTTCTATTCTTACCGCCCAGAATCATCCAGAGTTATCTTCTTTCATCTTCCATAGCAAAGCCTATCCCACCTTCTAGGAGTTCTGCTGAATTGATTGAAAAGCACGATCTCCTGAAGACTGGCCTGACTTTGCTGCATAGTACATAATTGCTTTCATCATTTTTGTCATGCAGCTATATGCTCAAATTATTTTGCAGAGTTGCTTTCATGGATATTAATAATTATAAGAAGTAACTGATTTTTAGCCCCTATCCTCGGGGCACTCCACCCTATCCTCGGGGCACCCCACCCTATCCTCGGGGCACCCCACCCTATCCTCGGGGCACTCCACCAGTTCCGCGCACTACACTGACAGTTTGCCACCAGCAGCTGAGTAGTTGTCTGCGTGCACATGTAATTCAGTTCCTGCTGCCAAATTTGAAGACCGGTATACAGTTTGTTATACTATAAACGAAGGGAGGGTTTGATCTTGGGTGTGGCTCACAAGTTCACAGTGACTTTCAGATCATGGTCTGCTGGGCCCAGTCCCTCCTACACGAGCTAGGATGGTGACATGTCAGTGCAGTACAGTCACCAGCACACGAAAAAAAAAAAAAAAAGGAGAAAAAGAGAGTTTATCCAGCCCGGTAGGTGTGCTATTCGGTATTCCTGGCCTGAATGGCTACAGCTGGACCCGCTGATTCAACCATGTCCAGTGATAAGTATATAATATAACCTAACCAGTTGATTATATGGGAAATATAAACCTGTATACAAACCGAGGCGAAGCCGAGGTTTGTATATTGGTTTATATTTCCCATATTCAACTGAGTAGGTTATATTATGCTTATACTGAGCTGATATACAAACTCCCCTAGTGTGATCCTAAAAAAAAAAGGAGTTTATATACCGGTTTATACACCAGTTTATATACCAGTTTATATACCAGTTTATATTCTCGTCATCGAAGTACCTGTTATATGCAAAATACAAGTCTGGAGTGTTGTGTGGGGAGAGATGGGAGTTTGTATACAAGCTCAGTATAACCTGAAATAGCTGATGTAGCTGGGTGTTGTTGCTGCAGTCCACTGACGTCACACCGTCAGCGGTAGTCCGCCTTTCTTTATGTCCATCGTTGAGTACGGGTACTAGCAAGAGTACATCATTCTGTACTCTTGGTACCAGGCTTCTCAGTGGTCAGGACACCACCTTGTGCATTGGACCTAAATACAACACAAATAGGCACCAATTGCGCACATCACTGGCATTCATTCATCACGGCTGCAGGCTTGTTAACCCCTTGAGCGCTGATGGCGTACTAGTACGTCTAAAATACTATAATTATAGTAAGGCAGGTTCTGCATGACTTGCATCCAATATTCAGCAATAACACTGACGCTGGCAACTGCTATAACTAAACCGGTACGATAACTAAACACAGAGGACGTCAGCACAAGCTGACTACACGTACATGTATTGCCCAAAAGTACACATGATCTTCTGCTACACGACTTACCTCCCGTCACTGCATGTGCAGCATTGTTCAAGTCAGTAGTTGGCCATCCGACGTTCCAGTATTTGCCATGCAGAGTGTGCATAGTCCCTGTTTGTGTTTGACTAACCGGCGGCAATGCTTTCCATAGTCACCACTGACAAGTACACTAGGATGGTCTCACGCATTGTGGTGTGCCTAACCTCTCGTCTACGATGCCTGCCTGCCTGCCTTCCACATGCTCCTAAAGCATTCTCCAAACCACCCATATCATGGTAACATTTATTCCAGAAAACGCAGATCATGTGAACGTGGTAACACTTTTTAAAAGTACTGAAATGTGAAAAACCAAGCCGCTAGGTCTCCAAGTGCAGTATGTAAACCTTCCATGCACGAACACGAAATCACAAACTGTGTATTCAAAGAAGAATTGACTTTGAAGTGTGTTGGGATGGCCTACAAGAGAATACTAGCTGCTAATGTAGCCGGTGAAGAAGCAAAGGCAAAATAAAATGAAGCAAACGATGGCAGAAAAAGGTCATGTAGGCACAGTATGTAGCCGACCACTGAATGCAGGTAGCCTGTGATGCCAATCTGGTACACTGGAGGCCATATGGATAGTGAAGAACTGCAAACGTGTTGAGAAAGATGCTCGAGGCAAAGTCAGAGACAGCTTGTGTAGGTCAGTCCCCTCGCCGCCGCCTAGTAATAAGCACATTCACAAAGCCGACTGCCATCAGTTGAAAGTCATAAGCACACACACACATCCAGGCCATTGAACATATTGTACAGTGCATGCCTGCTAAATCAAGTGGAGAGGGGGGGGGGGGGCATGATGTTCATGAACATTGCTGGTACGTCGCACTGTTCGGTGAACTCTTCACATGCTCAATGATGTGGCGGCGTCAACGGACATGGAAATACCATTAAAGCGCCTTAACCCTTTACCGGCAAGTTACTTTTGTATATGAAATCCATAACATTTAGAACGATACCAATAACTCACAACGAGGCCACATTTTGTATGTGCAAGTTATGTTTTCTTGGAAGTCTAGTACTACTTCTTGACCATGGAAAAATTTATTTTCTCATACCACACACATACGCTGCTAAATTGGCACCTCTACGTCTAAACACGGAAATTGTACACATGCAAATCGTCAGAGTTCCGACATTGACATGATACTACCAAAACAAGTCGACTTCGGAGCGGAAACAAACGCTATAGCCATCACAAACTTCAGTGGCCATGCCTCGCTCGCAAATGAGAGCAGCATCGCCCCAGAATCGCTGTCGGAAAGCTCCGACGCGCTGCGCTGCCGTCACTCAAGTACGTAGAAAGTCGATGGGCTAAAATTCCGTCTCTGGGAGACTGTCGACACGGGGATCGCTCTCCATGGCTTCCCCACCATAAGCACCATCAGATTCTTCCAGGTACATCACGACGACATCATCTTCAGCGGCTGGCGCTCCCCATATTTGCGTGCGAATTTGCTTGGCGTGCGCACCGCTCCGTAATTTGAAATTCGCTTGCACCGGCGGCTGGAACGAAGTATTTTTCTATCTGTCGTCAGTCCCAGAGCGAATGACTGCTAGGTCGTCGTCGGAGAAGTTATCCGAGGACGAAAGGAACTCACTGCGCAAGAGAAATGCACCTGACGATGTTTTGACGGAGGCGGGCGGCATTGTCGGCGCGCGTGTATTTCCGTAAGTTTTCGATCGCGCAGTTCTCAATGAAATCAAATGGGACACGCGTGGATCTCTTCAGCTACCGATAGGATCATACCTAGGCTGTGTGAGGGCCACGGGAAATCCCCGTGGGCTGATGCTTCCCGTCATGCCAGGCATAGTTTTGTATGCCTGTCGAATGCGTCAACGTTGACGCATTCAAGTATGGGGCTGCCGGTAAAGGGTTAAAATCAAGTGGTTATATTATCAGACAGATTTGAACGCTGACAAAAGGTGCACTTTCACTTCACATCAGTTTGTTGAGGACTTTCTTTTATAATCATCATCAGCACCTCTGCATTAACAGCTATTCCTTACCAAGCATTAACAGCTATTCCTTACCAAGCATTAAGGGGCCGTCCGTAAATATCGATGTTTTTTTAGAGACGATATTGGTGCTTCTCTCCCTTGACCCCCCTCCCTCCCCCCAGAAGACGCACATGTACATCTAGATCATGGAATCAATATTAAAATTTTTTGGATGCTCATGAAGTGCCCAGGATGTTGAGGGTCCGGTGTAGGCGTGAAAATCCCGCCGCACTCACGCTGCATCGCCTGGGGCATGGGGGGAGCGAACCGGGTTGGCGCTGCAGTGCTCACAGCCATCGTGTACTGGTGTAGCCAAAGCGGCTACGCTCGGCCTCGGGCTTGAATTTTTTCAAATCCTTGTTCAGACAGTGAAGACTGGAAACTCTTGTGGAGTTCGTCCGTGTTTGTTCGCACTGCCTCTACGTCTTGAAAAAGGTCTCCTGCAGGCATCGTTCGGCCGATTTCCACAATCAATAGCTCATTCTTTTGCTCTTGAAATTCGCCATGGGTGCACAGCTTCCAATTTTTGATTTTGTTCTTGTGTCGCGAGTTTTAGCTCCGCGAACGGAAGCTGGTTTCACATTTCTTGTATAGCCATTTAGACGTCCGCGTGCAGGGATCGGCGAAACTTCAAATATTTACATCGATATTTTCCTGATGCTCGAAAAGACGCACATGGCTCAAACCCCCTCCCCCCCAGACGCACCAATATCGTCTCTAAAAAAACATCGATATTTACGGACGGCCCCTAACAGCTATTCCTTATCAAGCATTTCTTGTGTATTCACTACACAGCAGTGAACTAACGGACTTACAAAGTTTGAAGCTGCTCAGGAGAACCGGGATTCGAAACTACCCACATGCTGGCCTTCGACAATGCGGAGAATTGGCACAAATGGATGCTTGGTCTCCTTGGCGTAGTTCTGCCGAGAAAGGAGAGATCATGACACAGTCACCAGCCCGATCATACCCACTGTTATCTCCCTTCATACTGGTAGACCCAGCAACCATTCCCACTCAATGGCATTTCCCGGTTTTTTCGCTGAATGCTCACACAAATGGTACTGGGGGTTTAACTCACATGTCCATACTCGATTGCCTTGGAGCTCTCCCCCGAGCTCGCTTCCCTACCAATCCAGACAAAGATTTGTGTTCCGTCATCCAGAATAAATACTGTAGCAAACACACAGGGAGAACATAATCGCACAGTAAGAGATACGCAGCAACACATACACATATACTAATACCACCAAGAGTAGATAAACAAGAGTGTGCAACTCGCGGATGGGTAGGCCCATGGCGGAATTTTTTGTTGACGTAATCTTTTCGACGACGCACGAGCTGCGAGTCTTTCGGAAAGTTTTCCCTCGTGCTCTTGGCCGGCTTTACACAGGCTACAAGGTCGGTGCCCAGCACGTGCTCTCACACTGCTCGGCGGCGAAATGCGCGTTCTTCTAAAAAAAGGTGACGTCAACAAAAAATTCCGCCGTGGGCGGGGTATCTGCAGATTGTGCAGGAGAGATCCAGAGTTGCACACTCTTGTTTATCCACTCTTGATACTACTACACATACACACGTATACATCCACACGTGCACACATGCATATGATGCAGACAAACACCCAAACACACATATGTACACACATACACAGACAGACATGCACGCGCACACACGCACGCACACACCTACACACATACACCTACACACACACACACACACACACACACACACACACACACACACACACACACACACACACACACACACACACACACACATGCACGTACACACACCCCAGACCTCAGACATGCCCATCGCGGAAGCGATGATAGCGAACAGCTATGTTAGACATACCAACTTGTGCTGGGATTGCACCATTCAACAGCTTGCAAGGCTGATGAATTGGCCGCCACTATCTTTAGCCTGGTATCCACCACACAGCTGTTTGAAGTGACATTTTCTGGCCAGTGAATCCCTATTTTTCATTTTTCCATTTTTTTCTACACACACACACCACACCACATACTCCGGTATACACTGGCTGTTGGTAACCACCCAGGAGAATGAAAGAAAAGTCAGGAAGAGTCCGAGAAAGAGAAGAAAGACGTGTGCGACCATAAACGTCGGGAATTGAACCCGCAACCTCTCAATTGGAAATCGACTGCACATACCACTGCACCATATGGGACATACCTCAGACCTCAGACCTGCCCATCGCAGAAGCGATGATAGCGAACAGGTATATTAGACATAGCAACTTGTGCTGGGATTACATCATTCAACAGCTTGCAAGGCTGATGAATTGACCGCCACTATTTTTAGCCTGGTATCCACCACACAGCTGATTGAAGTGACTTTTTCTGGCCAGTGAATCCCTATTTTTTCATTTTTTCATTTTTTCTTTTTTTTCTACACACACACCACACCACATACTCCGGCATACACTGGCTGTTGGTAACCACCCAGGAGAAAGAAAGAAAAGTCAGGAAGAGTCCGAGAAAGAGAAGAAAGACGCGTGCGACCATAATCGTCGGAATTGAACCCGCAACCTCTCGATTGGAAATCGACTGCACATACCACTGCACCATATGGGACACACACACACACACACACACACACACACACACACACACACACACACACACACACACACACACGTGACACACACACACACACCCTGAGACGTGCATCATGAGTTTGAAAAGCCATGTGTACACCCAGGCATATACACTGAAGTTAGTCGGTTACCGTCATTGGAGTCCAGCCGGGATCTTTCGAACCGCTGGCCTTCTGCAATCTTAGTCATCTCCAGTCCACCGGATGCATCGCTGAGTCTGAGCAAGAAAATGAAAGGACAATCTTGAGACTAGAAGCATAATGAAAATGGACTGGATATTGTTTGTGGTAACACACCATGACTGAGTGATTAATTAACGCATTAGATGGCTACCTGGAACCTATTCGTTCACCAGACACAGTTCGAGATGGAGTGAGAGATAACAAGAGAGAAAGAGAGGGATAGAGGAAGAGAAGGAGAGTTGACTGTACTCACAAATACCAGAACATGTCAGATAGTCTACTCTGGATGCACATACCTGAGCAGCACTGGAACGAAGGTTTTAGAGTCGGACTCAAAGACCTGCATCAAGGCAAAACATCACAAGTTGGGCAAAGCTTGCTTCGAGCTTTCATTCTCACTTTCTCAGACGACTCTGAGAGAGCACATCCGTTCATCCAAACGTACAGTGGCAAGAAGCCACCACATCCCGCCGGTCTTTTGTAGTTCTTTAAATCTCTTATACTTCTGTCATCTCCTCTTCATTCACTTTCTACAGTGGTGCCATTGTCCTCATTAGGCAATTTTCCTGTTCTGGTTGCTTCCAATCTCTCTTCAACGGTATACAATTTTTTATACTTCAATACATCCGGATCGCGGCCTAATATTGCTGTAAGCTTCATTAGCGCAAGAACACACAACCAGGCTGCAGTTGGCGCCAGCACTGTACATTGCTGACCTGTTTTGGTTCACCTTCGGGCAGCGCCTGCCAGAATGGATGGGTCTGCGGCGTATGCGCCTCATCTGCAGCACATGCAAAATTGTCCAAGCAAAAAAAGAAACAGGGTTTTGAGAGGATCGGGGGAACTTCAAATTCAAAAGGATCAGTCGGAGAAGTGAACTGCCTGAAAAGAGAAAAAAATGCCAGACCCACCAGGACTGGAATCCTTTGGAGTGAAAAATCTGCCAGCGCCTTCTAGGTTCAGCCTGGTCCCATAGCTCGGATGGTTAGAGCATTGCTCGTGACAAGCAAGGTCCCGGGTTTGAGTCCTGTTGGGTCTGGCATTTTTTCTCTCTTTCAGGCAGTTCACTTCCCCGACTGCCGGATCCTTTGAAACAGGGTTTGTATTGGTCTTTCCTTCCAGAAAGGTAGATTAGTCGGGGACTGTGTGCCACGCAGGAAGAAAGACATACTTTTTAGGAGCAGGATCCTCGTAAAGACCTTGCCTTAACAGCCATTCCTACCAGCCATATTCAAAATACACGTGCATGTACTTCGATATATATATGATTAGACATTCAGAATACTGGCATGTTTTCTGTCCACCTGTCCTTCACTACACAGTCACATGTGCAGTGGGTGATCACAGTCAACCTGTCAGCTCAGCTAGTTTCACAATCCCAGTGACGCCAATGTCAGATTGATGCAGGGAAAAGCGTTATCATGATCAGCACCAGTATGTTTGCCTATGGCATGCCATACTTTTTAATAATACTTACCCAGGAATTCACTCTGGGCCTTTCCACGCTGGGTCTAGTTAGCCAAGAAAACCATACAGTGCACAACAACACAATATAAACTTGTGACAAACTGTGCTACAAGCTTTTGTTCTGTAACTGTCCTATGCCAGGTGTACAAGTTTTAGCTAGAGAATTATATCATGCACGAGGTGTGTGTGTGTGTGTGGGGGGGGGGGGGTGTGTTGGGGGTGGGGAGGGATCAATTCGAACAGAAGAGCCGACTAGCCCAATCTAAGATGCAAACTGTACTACTTCATGGTGTCCTACATATTATGCCAGGATACAGAGGTAAAATGTGTCGGGTAAAATGTTCGGTTAACGTACGAGTTAACCGTTGTTAACAGCCATGTACCATTGCTCCGCTATTGGCTCTTTATAACGGCATTATAAGATCAGACCTTGAGTTGAGTGACAAACTGGCTGGCCTTCAGGCGTTTATCTTTGTTGCTGTTCGATCCACTCCACTAACAGCAGCAAAGAAAAGAAACCGAGAACATCACATGACGACGGTTGCAGCACAAGAGTGACAATACGCTGCTTTAAAAAAAAGATACAGTGATCAGCAGATGCAGTCAAACTGACACGCAACAGCAAGCGCACGCGACACCCACACACATACATACATGCACGCACGCACACACACACACACACACACACACACCCACACACACACACCCACACACACACACACACACACACACACACACACACACACATGCACACACATATACACACACACACACACACACATATATATATATATATGCACACATACACACATGTCATACTGTTGTAGTACGTTATTTTGTGTACGTGGTGTGTACGTGGTGTTGGTACATGCGCGTGTTGCTGTGGTGTGAAACGCAGTCTTCGTCTTGAGTTCGTCATGTCTAGTGGTGTTTCCGTAGTCGTTTTGTAAAGAGAGAGCTTGTAAGCTCAGGGCCCTACGCTATGCTTTTTTGACTATCTAGCTTATCATGCATGTTATTAGAAATGATGAAAGTGTTTTTTTTTCCATTGATTGGCTACATCAAACTTTCTCTTTAGTAGTAGTAGTATTTATTTTATTTACCATCGGATGCCTCAACAGTGATACACACAACTCTTAAGAGGGCCGATAACGGGATAAGTGGAAAGGAAAGGAAAAGAAAAGAAAAAATAGAAAAAATTGGAATTCAGACATCAAGCAGTACAGTAATCAAACACCAAGTCAACTTCAATCTTAGTACAAGAACTATCAAGATCATCGAGAAACTCAACAGATTCCAAAAAGAAGGTCAAAATACTTCTTAAACGCCACTGGGTCTTTAAAAAGATCCCCGAGTTGGTTTGCAAATGTAGAGGTACGGTGGTGTCTGCGCCACTCGGCAGGTAGTGTATTAAAGAAAATTGCGGCACGATTAGAAAAAGAATTTACTCCATCAGTTGTCCGGTGCTTAGATATGGCAATGGAAGCATTAGAGTGGCTTCTAGTTCTAAGGCTTGTTGTGATCGGTGGAAATAATTCCGTTAGGGTAGGAAGTGAGATGATGACATGATTTCTATGAATAAACTGGGCAAAGTTGAGAATCTCTTTGCATTCGAAGGTAAAACGACACCCGTCTACCACCTTGATGACTTAGGCAAAAAAGCATAGGGATTTTAAAAATTCTCATCTTTCCTATTTTTTTCAAGACATAACCCAGGATTCGAAACCGCATTATCGCCCTGCATGCATTCCCCCGATACACTTCGCATACATACTCATTCTTCCAAGTTGCTCCACGTTATGATCTTGCATTTGAAAGCCCTACCGTATTTTACCGGTTGTAAGTCGACCCCGGTTATAGGTCGACCCCCGTATCCGGAGGTCTCAATTCTGCGTTTTAAAGTTTTCACCCAACGAAGCACTACCAACCACTCCCTGCTACTAACACATCAACAAATCATGTAAACATTCCTTATTGGAGGGTATAACGTCCCAATCCTTGAAAAAGGCCAATAATCTGGCAAATATGAGTACACATGGTGCACTCATGCACGCAGGGCAGGTCATTTTTTGTAAGATTCTGATAGTTCCCGGTTATAAGTCGAATCCCGGTTGTAAGCCGACCCCACCCTTTCTCCTTCTATGTTTAGTTGTAAAAGGTTGACTTACAACCGGAAAAATACGGTATTTGAAAATTGCGGCCAGCTGTTTATGGCCAGCTATCTTTGATGGTACGGTACGGTACGGGACAGGTACGGGATAGCGCCAGGCATGCCGATGGCACAAACAAACAAACACCGAATTAAAGCTGTGTGGACCCTGGCTAGTGCCAGACGTTACTGAAGTAACGTCTTTTGCATAGCTACGGGAATAAACAGTCTTTCTAAATGTAGTTATCGTCGTCCATTGTATAAGTGTGGAGATGACACGGGCTGGGAGCAGGTGAAGAAAGGCATCTACAACAATACC